GTTCAAGGTGAAGGTCCAGGCCCGGTGCTGGCAGATGTCGCCGGTGCTGGCAGATGTCGCTGTTGCTCCACGATGCCGCTCCCGGTCGCGACAACTTGACCCCCGTGACGTCGTCCCCGTCTGAATCATCAAGGCCATTTTCAATCCTCATTGGCCTGGGCATCACGTGGGGGGGTGGAGGGGGGGAGAGCGATGCGTGGATAATTATGGTGCTTGATATTTTTTCCCCCTAAAAAAAAGATGTCAGCCCCTGGCTGGAGTATTCCTCCTTAAAAACCCTCTCTGAAAATGTCATGTCCCAACAATGTGACTTCTAACTCGTTTTTGATGGACTCGTTGGCCGGTACCTGTAGAGGGGAGAATTATTCCTCCAGCCAAGGGATGTACATGCAGCCTGGGAGCGATTTCAGCTGCGGAGTCATGAGGAACTGTGGAATTATCCCGTCTCTTTCCAAAAGGGACGAGGTGAATAACGCTACCTTGTCTCTCAGCACCTATCCATCTTACCTTTCGCAGCTAGACACTTGGTGTGACCCCAAAAATACGTACAGGATCGAGCAACCTGTTGCAAGACAGCTCCCATCCTGCTCCTTCCCAACCAATGTCAAGGAAGAGAATGTTTGCTGTATGTATAACGCTGATAAAAGAGCAAAAAATGCCACAGAGACAGCCCTCTACCCCAACCAAATGCCTGAGCCTTGCCTAAATGACCATGAAGTCCCCGTTCCTAGCTACTACCGAGCAAGCCAAGGTTACCCCTCCATGGAGAAGACGTCAAACTGCAGCAATCCAAATGAGTTTGAGGCAAGTTTTGAATCCAGGGCGAGCCTGAACCCAAGGAATGAGCATCTGGAACCAGCACCACCACCTCCTCCACCTCCTCCGCCGCCCCCGGTGGCTAAAGTGAGTTTCCCCGAAAACACAAAAACAGATAATCCTCAGAACCCAGCCACGAACGAAATTAAAACAGAAAAAAGCGCCCCAGCACCCAAAATAAGTCCTTCGGAAGCAGAGAAAGACCTGAATAAAAACACTGACACCAGCACTGACAATTCTGACAATGAAGCAAAAGGTAAGGGAAGCGTTCATTACCAGTGGCTAATTCCAGTAATTAGTAATCAGCCCTAGCTCATAAGAGCCGGAGTAACGCGAATCTGCAGTAATGTGCTCTCTGCCCTGCCAACTTCTCCAGAAATTGGCACCGTAATGTTCTGTCTTCTTGCCGTCTTTTGGGGGGGGGTGTGCAAAAAAAAAAAAAAAAAATGTTCTTCCTAGAAATGTTGTGGGTGGTTTTTTATTATTATAATGTATATTAAAGCTGAGAAAAAAGGAGCGGAGAGCTGTTTGAGAACTCGTCCTCTCGCTGTTTATGTGGAGAAAATGTGCTGTGCATGTGCTTATGGAAAAAAAAAAGAAAAAAAAAAGGAAAATTTTGGTCCTTGCAATCAACGCTGCAGAATGTGGGAAGCTGAGGTGACTTTGCTGCGAAAGGGCAGAGACCTGGGGGTTGTTTGGTTGTTTGGGGGGTTGTTTGAGGGGTGTTTTGTGGTTTTGAAGGCTGATGAACCCTGATTTCCCCCCCCCCCCCCCCCCCCCCGGGGTGTTATTAAACCCCGCCGGGCGCAGCCCGAACGATGGGAGCCGCAAGCCCAGACCATACGACTCGGGGTTACAGTGGGGTAAAAAAATAAAATAAAAATGAAACTGCGTAGAGTCTAATTTGCAGTTCCAAACGTCTCAGGCTGGAGTTGTGCACTGTGGCTCATTTCGTTGCTTTGGAAGCTCGTTGGGAGACTCGGAGAGGGAAAAGCTGCTTTTTTGTTGTTGGGTTTTTGTTGTCTTTTTTTATTTTCTTCTTGGCGAATTGGGGTCTTGTTTGCGAAGGCAAAAAAAAAAAAATGTTTCTGTGTGTTGAGCAGATGTTTTAAGTTTGGGATTGTCTGCAAAGAGGCTTTCATGGATCGCATTTTATTTGGAGAGCTTGCATATGGCTCGGGGTCTCCGCCTATGTGAATATTCGGGTTCGTTTCCCCCCGGTTGGAAGCGAGGTTGGATGCTTTCGGGTCAATAAGTGGGGATCATGCGAAGGGATGGATTGAATTTCCCGAAAAAAGTTGGAGCGGGGGTTTCCTCGGGCGAAAACACCGCTCAGATCGGTCTGTGGCACCAGCAAACCCCATCCTCTGGCGCTTCCCCCTCCAAAATTGGCCTTTTTAAAAGCAGAACCCAGAAACACTTCTTTTAATCCTCATTATTTTCCCCTTTCCCCTCTCTTTTTTCTCCTTTTTTCTTTTTTTTGTTTTGTTTTTTTTTCCTAACCCCATCCCGCATCCAAAGGGAAATGATATTATCGGAGAGTTGACTTAAAATAACACACACCCCCCCAAAAAAAAAAAAAAAAAAAGGAGCAAAGTCAAGGTTATCAAAACCCCTGCAAACTTATCTGCACAAAGCGCCTTCGACCTCCGCGCCAGGAGAGGTTTTGGTGGGAGTTAACCCGAAAGAGAGATTATATTGGGTTGGATTTGTAATCGGGGCGACAATAAAGAAGGAAATCAATGCAGAGAAAGGCTTGCTTTGGCTTCAGATCTTAAATTTAAAACGGGTGCGTGGGGAAAGACGTGGTTGCCCGGATTTTTGTTGCGTTTCAAAATTTCGTGGCGTTCGCGGCGTTTCCAAACGGTCAGGTCCACGTTGGGGCGGATTTTCTTTGCTCGTGTTTCTGTTGCTTCCCTTGAAATCCTTTTATAGCTTCGCTTTTCGTTGATGTCCAAGCCGAATTTTTATTCGTGCAGAAGGTAAGAGACCTTTCCCGTGTCGTTTAAGCATTTTTTGGGAGGTTTTCTGCAAACGCCCAAGCGGGTCCATGTCACACCAGCGAATTTGGAAGGTTGGCTAAATCAAGGTGTTGGGTTTGGGTTTTTTTTTTTTTTCCCTTGAATTTCACGAATGCGGGGTGGTGGTGGTGGTGGGGGGAAGGTTTGCTCCAGTTGCAGGATCCTAGGCGGGATTATTGGCCGGCTGCTGGTGCCAGGGTTTTCTCATGACCAAATTCAAAGCCCAAGTATTTGCTGTGTTTATTTATGTACGTGTGAAAGACGTTTGCCTTCGCGAAGTGTATGTGTGCGTATCTATACGAGTGTGGAGAGCGAGGAGGGTGTCGATGGGATTACAATTACCTCCGAATTTACCTATATGTGCCCACACAGCTCATAAAGGCAAATCTGCTCCATACAACCCCGGCTCGCCAAAAAATACACTTGACGGAAAAGCTGCTGGGGGGATCTCCAGGGCGAGCGAAAATAGAATTTTTTCCCCCGAAATAACACGCCTTTAAGCAAATATTTCAGCCCCGGCGGGTCGTTTCGAAGCCTCAATAATTTAAAAAAATTTTTTATTTTTTTTTTGGGGTGGTTAAGGGTGACTTGGGGAAACCCTAAGAGCTACAGAGGGCTCCGAAAGTCACGTTGCTGATCCCAGCTTAATTTTAATCAGTGGTGTTTTAAGCCAGCCTAAGGAAGCCAGAATAAGCCCATGCTGTGGAGGTGGGGGAGCGCGGAGCGGTGCGGTTTCTCCGCGCTGCCCCGCTCCGCCTGCGCGGCTGCGAGGTGGAGGTGCGCGCTGCTACCGCCGATGCGCTCCCAGCCACTGCACGGCTTTAAACCCCCCCCCCACCCCCTCCAAACCTGCCTCT